ATTGATTTCGGATTTATTGATTTTTTTACTTCGAGAAAAATCACTTTTTATTTACTGAAGAGAAATTTTGACAATAAAACCCATCGGATCTACTTACGCACTTACACTCTACTTACACATCTTATAAGTTGTTCAAAATGTTTTCTATTTTTCGGAAAACAATAATAAAGTCTATTTTCGAACCCTCCCTAACACTGACAAGATATTCCTGGATAGATCGATTGGCAGAAGGAGATCAATTGAATGACCTCCAAAATCACCGGATTGAACACCCTTAGACTTCTTTCTATGGGGACATCTTAAGTCCATTGCGTATAAAACACAACCTGCTGATATTGATGATCTTAAAGATTTCCGAAATATTAAGGAAGAGTTCAAAAACAGACCTTATTATTGTTTACATGAAAATTGACACCACTTGAATAGCTTATAAGATAATGCGTAAATAGATGACATATGATTTACGGTCGAAATTTCTCTTCCGTCAACAAAAAGTTGTTTTTGTCGAAGTACAATAATCAATAAATAAGAAATAAGATCAAAATCAATAAATCCGAAGTCAATTGTTTAAACTAGATTTTCTTCCTATTGTTCAACGATTTTAACAGTGTAACCTACTCGTCTAATCATCTGTATTCCATGGAGACCCAATAAAATTGTTTTTATGTAAACACTAACACAAATTTGAATCGCGATTATTCGAAAACCTCTGAACCAAAAACAACAAAGTAGTAACTAATGTAAAGAGAATTGAATGCCCTTTAAAACGATTTGCCACTTGACCCCCTTTCACATTTAAGATTATAAGGGTAATATCTACCCGTCCTATGGAGTTGAAACAAGGAGGCTAAAAATATTCATTTAAAGTGTCCCCTTTACAAATAAAGTTGAGGGGTCGTTCCGATTTTTCATATTTTCAACTGCAAGAAAAGTATTAAGGGTGGAAAGTTTTTAAATTGACACCCCGTATATGTTATTCCGCTGTTTTGTATTTTTTTGTAACTTTTAAGCTGGATCTATTTTACATGTATTTCTGTAATCATTAACTAACTTTTTGTCAAAATGGACGCACATACGCATATGCTTATTTAATTTGAAAACAAACTTTATAAATCCAGGTAGAAAATAGCAAATCCACAACAAGAAAATTAGTGATATCATTAAAATCGTGATGCCCCATTACGAAATTTTTTCATCGAGTATTTTCCCAACGAATATAAAATTTCCTCGACTCGCGTAATTGGTTGGAAATAAAATTCCTTGGCAAATTCAAATCGTGCATGCTCTTATATTGTGTGCTGTGCCCTCAATCAGACAGAAGATGTAGATGGTCACCTGGGAGATGTAGAGCTTACGCTCGACGATTCCTATGTAATCTGCTGTTAAAGGGATGCATTTGCTGCCTATTAAGGGTACATTTCCCTGTCGCATGAACGATGAATTTGAACAACTTCCTCGAGCTAGTTTTCTGATATCAGGTATTGATTTAAATCGGGCCCTTTCATCTTGTCTGGTGTAGTTACGTGAAAAATAAAACCACATATCTTGCATAGAATAGTAAGGAAATTGCCTTCTCTTATTACTATGAAAACTGCGATAAAACAATTTAACTACAATTTAAAGAACCGTTATATCGAAATAAAGATGCTAAGTAACGGAGACACTTTAATGAGAAGCAAGCAATTTTAAAATATGCTTGGCAAGGACTTACTTTACCCAAAGTAAATCTTTGTAAAGTAAAGCAAAATGCGTTGTGCACTCGTTTGGCAAATCCTGTGTGATAATTCACTTGAGCAATGTGGGAATATTACTACCTCTTGCAGACATTCGATAAAATTAAGATTTTTAACACCATTAATGGTTTCAGTTTGTACTGTTGGGGTAATATTGATGCAGTGCTGTTTATTTAAACATAGAAAGTTGTGTACGTAGTCTAGCAAATAGCGAACGATCGAAAGTAAACTCGATAATGTACTTCAAAATAAGTAAAAATCATGCAAAACAGATGTATCTTCAATTGTACACTTCTGTGTTGTCAGTCAATACTGTTTTATTATCATTACTAAAAAACATGTACTGCTGATGTTACTGAGATAATATGTAACGCTCCTGACTCTGGAAAATATTTTGAAGCTGCTGGGGAATTAGTAGGACTCTGCCCTCAAACATTTTCATAAGTTTTAAATTCGAACCAATCCAAGATTCATGTTACTAATTGTTTAATTAATATTTTTAGCTTGCCAATAGAATCAATATTAAATGCTCAAAAATATCGATTCGTGAGATGCGTGCAATAATATAATATTTCAGATTCAATGTGAAATCAATAATTGGCGTAAAGTTAATCCTCTGCGTCCTCATCGATATTTATATTGCCCTTAGCACTCCACATAAATAAATCAATAACCTTCCAGGCCAACAAAAAAAAAGTTCAAGATAATCAATAACAGCGGATTTCATATTTAGTATAATTGCATGTAGTGTGGCTTTAAATAACAATTGGCCGTCCTTCGAAATAGGCGATTACTATCGAACATGCAGAATTGGTAAATATATGAATCAACGAGTTCTCTAATACAGGTATCAACCCACCCAAGTTTTTCAAATTACTCTCTACGGGCTGAGCGTGTATACAGCAAATGGTAATTGTTAGATGCAATGTATTATATTAGCTAATAATCACTATGGGACCCTACACTTTTTCCTACAAAAGTGCACATCTCACGTTCAATTACAACAGCTACAAGTAGAAACAGCGGATTTTCGAAGCACCCTGACACAGTAAAAAGTGTAAACAACAATATTTACACATACATTAATGTAACATAACGCTAAAATTTACGGTTATTTCGAATTCCTTCTGGTGTTACTTCACTTTGGAAATATGGCCGAGGACGTAGGCATTGAATTTTAAATATTGCCCTTTGAATTCTAACTACTTGGGCTTGGAAACGGTTAATTCCATATGTAAATGCAAATTGTACAGTATTACCATAAATATGGCTAGCTACTTGAGTTACAGTTCATACCTTTAAATGTCAACACTACAAAGTCATATTCACCAGCTGTATGCTTCAAAATTTGGAACTGTCCTCTTGGAATAAATATCGATGCTAATTGTCATCCGAATAACTAAGTTAAGTACTACCAAATATGCATAATGCGAGAACTTTTAAACTAAACGGCAGTTTAAGGGACCTATTTCTTAGGTATGAGGGTTAATGTTTAGCAGGGTGTTATACTTATTTTATAATAATGAATCCATATGCAGAAAGTTAAAAGTAATCAGCATTGGACGGCATTATTTAGAAAAAATATATGATTATTTTAAACAAACCGCCTAACAATTATTTAACGAATCTACAAAGCAATAAAAATTATGTTTTGTATAAATTTATTATTTCTTACCAGGGCTTACCAAAATATCTGAGATAAAATTGAAATAGGTTCACAAAAAAAAGCATAAAAGCAAACTTAAAACTTCGATTTATCAACGATCTTATTTAATCATTACATGATTCAATCGAAAACTATAGAAATGTCACATGAAAGATCGGCGGTGTTATTTTTAAGATGAGAGAACACGAGAAATTTGAACTGACAACAGCAGATGAAAAAGTCTCGAGAAAATTTAGCATTTTACATATAAATCAATAAAATATGTGATAGTCTATTGATCGTTACAAGGTTGAAAACATTTATTTAGTGATATAATAGTACTAATGGCGAATTGTTTAACATTAGTTTATATTGGGGATTCTGTACCCAACGACAATAGTTGGATGAACAACATATGAATACTTGAATTTCAATTTGAATTCAAAGATATTGTGAGTTTAAGAGTGACCTTTTCTTCCAAATATTTCAATTGCATTTATTTCTATTCTGATGTTCTGGTGCTTTTTCTATAACGCATGTCTATTTACTAAATAATTATTTTATTTCGATATAATTATTTTATCAAGGTGTACGAATTGGTGTACACATATTTACGGTTATATACAGTGTGACTTACGTAGACCGTGCATTAGAAGATTTCCAACTTGCAGTTGGCTCAGAAACCTCAAATTTAGTTTAGTGTCATAATGAGTCGTACCGAAAGCACGTAAAATACATTTAGCCCTGTAGCTCTACAGGGTGTACGAAAAATATAACCTAACTCTCTAATTTGGAATGCAGAGCCCTCATTTCTTCGTTTCACTTGCGAGTTTGGGCAACTTAACTTTTATACTTTTGATTTATGTCAGTTGTTTAAAAAAAGTACCGTTCTGTTTGAAAGAAAATTACATTTCGCTATAACTAAATTAAATAAGACCAAAGACGTTAGTAGAGGCCAATTGAAAAACCAGGTTTTTCGCCATTTTTTATGGCAATGTTTAGAGGCTGCGTGTACCCATATGTTACAAAATGGGTATGCTAACGGAGTTAGTTTGAACTTTCAGCTATCAACTCATCAAATTTAGGTTTAGAATTTGAAACCGTTCCTCAGATATAGCTTGTTACGTAAACATGTTATGGCATTTTTTTTATCAATTGACAATTATCAAAAACTATATAAGATAAGTTAACATAACTAAATAAATTAGGGGTTTGCATTTAAAATAAGAAAGTTTGGTTGTACTTTTCGTACACTCTGTATAGCTGGAGGGCTAAATGTATTTTCCGTGGTTTCCGCACCACTCGTTATGACACTGAATGTTGCTAGACCAACTGCAAGTTAGAAAACTTGTAATGCACGGTCTACGTAAATCATCCTATATAAGAAGTGGAATTTATTTAGTAGAAAATATAAAAGCTGTAATTTTTTATATTCAAATGTTATTATTTGCGATTTGAAACATTGTTTTCGAAACACATTAGTTTCGTCATAATTTTTTAGCTATAAAAAGTTTTCAAATACTATAAAAGCTGATAAACGTAGTTGATACGTGAATAGGGTATGAAATAAATTTAATAGTTTTTCGGTATAACATCAGTCAAGCAAAGTTTACGTGACTTACCCTGCAGCAAAGCGCTGTTCATTTGGTTGCCTGAAACAAAAAAATTCAATAAACCTCATAAAAAGGATAGGAAAATAGTACATAAATCGACTGGAGCAACAACCAAATAACAAAGTCAAATAGAAATCCAAGAACGAAACCACGAACATATAAATTATGTAAGACCTTACAAGACAGTAAAAATGAATCTCAATTTGCATCTGATCAGTGCATTGAGTGTTCCCATTTGGTAAGTTTAAGTTTTAGGTTGATTATCTTTCTCACTTTCAATTAATAATGTTCATGAATATTCAAGTTGCATACGGCAATGTTCATCACACATAAAATTCACTTTTGAAATGTGGCAAAATGGTAATAAATATTTACACTGTTTGTTATTTATGTCATCAAAGCATATTTGCGGTGCTGGTAATTATACATTTCCAAATGACTTTCTGTTAATGCCATTCTAAGAATATCAAGGAATCTATAAATCTGTTCCAACACAAAGCGTAGAATAGTGGACAATATTTTCAAGGTCATTACTGTCACTAAAGCATCTTTATTGACACTAAAATGATGCCGAGGTCATTTACATCCATTAAGTGTAAGTCTGCAGTAGAGGAGCTAAGAGCTTTTGCTAATTCTTCTTCTGTGAATGTCTATATTTGCATTTAAAATATGTTTAATCAGGTTTTAGTAACATCATCATCTATGTAATAATTTATGTGGTCAAAATTAATTAAATATAGTTAAAAAATATTTTAAGAGACGTTTTATTTAACACAGCTATTTCATGTGGTTGCGGAGTAACATGCATCTCATACCTGATTTTCGAAAAAGAAAAATATGAAACCTAATATGCTCTGGTACATTTGATATGCTTAGATATTGTTGGACCATTTTTTTGATTTTATAAACAAACTGTTGACATGTTTGTCGTCTTTCTTTGCTTCAATTGTATTGTTTGACCGAAGCATAAAACAATATTATTATGTTTCAAGCAGATGTGCTGTTGAAGTCGTATTTTCAGATGCAAATCGCCAGATTTGCTAACTAGTTTTAACTAACGAAAAACGTGTTTTCTAAACAGTTCAAAAAACCATTATTTAGCATACAAACCGCAACACCCATTGGCATGAAGCTGCAGCAGTTCGTAAATAAAAAAGGCCAGTACTAATACAATTATAACACTTGGTCGTCTCTTAACTCGTTCTGAGTCTACAAACCATCGAAAGCTTGCAGCTATCGATTCGTGTCTTATATTAGTTTAGAACACCCAAGAGGATTTGTCACCTCGTTTAATCTAGCTGGCTCTCCTAAATAGTTATATCATATAATTTATTTATCGTGTTTACTTACTTTTCGACAAACAGTAAAGGTGTTGCTTGAAGCTGTGACGCAGTCGAAGTACGCGTATTTTTAATAACCCGGTGATTTTTTCAATTAATTAACATCTATTATATTGGTCGACGAGACGGTACACATTTCAAGAGAGCAAACACAAAAAATATGAAAGACGACACAGAACAGTTAGATTTTTCGCGGAGAACTCATATATGGCAACGGATCACACATTTAAAAACGATTTCGGATATATTTAACAATATACCCATGAAAACGCACCCAGGAAATCCTATTTTAAATATACATTTCCAGAAGTTTGGATCAGCATTTCAATATTAATTTGAACTTGTTTTCAGTGAATAAGTTAACTATATTTAATATAATGAGGCCCAAATCTTCCAGACATTTGTATTCATCACCCAAAAGAAAATTATTTCAGTGAATTACCATATACACACTAATCTTAAATTTAATTCAATTTACTTAAAACTATTTTAATTTATTTAATTTAAATGAAAAGAAAGATACATGAACTAACCAAAACAAAATTATATGCATAGTTAACTCTCAATATTAATTTTACTCTCACCAAAAAGACACTCCCAGTGCTTTTTTTTAGTTATTTGGTCGGACATTGTAGAATTCAGGAGCCACATAATCCAAAAATCGGTATAAATAATCCAACTTTTAGGTGTTGGTTCACTGTGGTTCCTGATCCCATGTGTGTGACTAACATAAGTTTTAAAGTTATTTGATTTGTGGATATAAATACATGTAGACCAAACGTATATCGAACGTAGATTAAATACCTCCACAGGCGATAGTTTCTTATTTCAGATTTGTCCCCTGATTTGTAAATAGGTGAAACTATTGATTTTTTAAATGTGTAGGCACTTTTTTTTTGAAAGTTAAAGTTGTGATTTGAATTAAAGGCTCAAAAAGATACATGATAGATATGATTTTTTTAATAAATATTGACTTAATAGTATCTATTCTGGGGGCGGAGCTGCTTTTTAAAGAATATTTTATTTTATTCCAATCAGTTGGCTTCAGAGACATTGCAGATGTACTGTTATGATTAATTTTAAATTGATTGTTTGGCTTCTTTATTTTGTTTAACATACCTACCAATGTTTATGAAACAGTAATTACACAAATTCTCCATGTCCATGTTATCGGAGCAGTCTATATTTTTAATTTTAATTTCAATATCCTTACTCCTAGTTTGATTTGTAGCTTCATTAATATCTTTATGAATGTTTTCCATATTATTTTCACATTTCTTAATTTTTCTTTTACAATAGTCATTCTTGCTTTTATTTAGGAGTTGATTTAACGAGTTTCTGTAGATTTTATATTGTTGTTCTTTTTCTAAACTGTAAGCTTCAATATTTTTTTTTGAAGTGATTACGTCTTCTGGCACTGTCTGAATGGATTGTGTGAATGGAATGAGAAATAGTGTTGTTATGTCTAGCTTAGATGAAGATTGCAGCTACGCAATTCTATCTCGCACGCACACAGCCACCCGCATGTTCCATCTGGCTCCATTAGGCCGGTCGTCTGTTATAATAGTGTGTAGACTGTGGTCTGTTCGTGTGAATATAAAAATGTGTAGTCCGTGGACCGGTGCGCCTTGGAGTCCGAACTGCATTCATCAGAACTCGTGCGAAAAGGAGCTAATGATCAAATTTCATTGTAATGTATAGAAACTCGTCTACTAGATCAGAAGTTATTCGTACGAATTTGCACGAACCATTAAGTAAAATGGAACCTTAGGCCGGACGTCCTCTGGAAGGACAAAAATTTCCATTCATTTTAAGTGGAGATTTTAATGTTGATTTTTCTTCTGAGTGAGCGCAAAATTCAATGTCATTTCTTGAATCAAAGTTACAATTAAAGATGATAAATAATCCAGAACAAGCTAAAATCGAGTGTCACAATTCGTTTCTTATTACAGTTATCATAGACCAATTGTCACTTTTGTACGATTAGATAATGATATCGTAAATGTTGTAAATATAATTATACTTTTTACATCCAAAAGGAAATTAAATTACCTTTTACCTATTGCCGATACATTTATAATTTATTAAACTTTAATTTTAACAAGAATACTGAAATTATAAATTAGTATTTCCATCATGCGTTAAACAATTTCAATATTTTATGATTTCTATTAATAATATGAAGTTGTCGCTTCTGTTGAAGGTTCCGTGACGTACACTTTTTTTTAATTTTTACTCTATTGTATTTTAATTTTACTAAAACAATTATTCTGATGTTTCAAGTTAAATCAAAACTGACATTAAAATGTCAAATTATCAAGCGAAGTGTGCCGCTATTTATATCAATCAATTTAAATGTTGTCTCTCACTTGATATTAGGTATTCACAATAGGTCCTCTCAAGAGATCTAAAACTGATGTAATTGTAGTGTCACGTGTCGTGTTAGATTAAAATTAAATCAATGCACAAAATTATTCTCTCCCTGCACGTTTCTAAGCGATCTGTTACCTGGTCTATAAAGCCGTAATTATAAAGAGAAGATTAACTAAAACAAGCTTTAGTAGAACTGAAAAAGCACAGCTTTAAAGTGAAGACATCTTATAATATCATTATGGGGATTACTCTTGTAAACCACATATATATACATTTCATTCTACGTGGAAATGCGCTAGGCAGACGCATAATTAAGTTATTACGCAAAGTTTATTATAATTAATAAGCTTGCAAGTACCTAAAAAAGAAAAGTCACGATCTACTTTAATCAAGAAAAGTAAACATAAATTACAGTTAAATGGCTGCGCTGATATGCCTGAAATATAAAAGTCCTAATAAACTCTGGCAAATCATATGTAAATCGACTGCTAATACTAGCTAATTTAAAGTAAATAAGCCCGTAATATTTAAGTTGACAGAGTTTTTGCAAATGGTTATTTGCCAATAATAGCCGAGTTGGAGTTGGAATAACTAGATTGCCACAGTGGGGGCAGCTAGTAAAAACACAATATGTAGATAAATCAGATTATAATATTCTCGGTTCAAAATTACACAGACAACAATTATTAATCCGCTTCGTTTAATCTAAATTACACTACTATTAGCTTAGTTCAAAATGCATACTAATTTCGAAAAGATTCTATTAATATTCATCATCCAATATTCGAGGAAATTAAAATTACCACAATGGAGAAGTAAATAAAGGATTATTATAAAAAGCATTTTCTTAGATTTCTAAAGAGCTGGTACCAATTTATTATGAATGCGGAATAAATTATTTTTATGCTGATCTCACAAATAAAAAACTTCCTTCAGCTCTCAGCGATCTAAATACTTTAATCTAGGGATGATGTTAGTCGAAGATATAATTCTGGCATTTTAATCCTAGCCCAGTGTTTCAGTCAATTTATGATTGTAAGAATAGGTTTATAAGATAAAGATAAATTAGAACAGGTAGAAAGAGAATTGAAATCAATAAAAAATAAAGGGTCACTCGAACACCGCTGTGAAACGAAAATTACAAGGTGGCTTCAAGAAAGAAACGGATTAAAAATGACCCTATGGGGTAATCTAGTTTAGTATTTTATGTCTCTTCTGAATAAATTATAGCTCGGTATTTTAGAAGATACCCAACAATATTTAATCCCTGCACGTTGATGTGTAGCGCCAATAAATATATTCTAGAAAAGCAACGATGATAATTGA